AAAGGGGTCTTGTGCAGCAGATTTATCTGATGCAACGCTTCTTTTGACTGCTGCGTCCATGAGCATTGAGGGTGGATTCAAGCAAGACAATTCCTTGATAACCTTTTTTCCATTTTTCATGATGTTACCGATTGTTCCAGCTGTGAGGGTTTGGGTCTTCTTTATATTGAGTTGTAATCTATACTGAAGGCTGCAATCCTTGATCTTCATCCTTTTGTTTACCGGTCTTGTAAAAAAAAATCTGGAACTACCTTCCTTTGTTCTTTGTGGCCCTCCCTCCTGAGCATTCTTCGTATCCCCTTGAGAGACTGAATAGAAATTTCGGATGTGTTTTCCATTGGGCGTTCTCACACATAGCTTGTTCCCCTCCAGTGGTATAGTGGGTTAGGTGCTTGGCTGCTACCTCAAGGCCAGCATTTCAAGACCACCAGCAGCTTGGTCCTGGGGAGAAAGAGACTTTCTACTCCCATTAGATTGACAATCTCGGAAACCCTCAGGGGCAGTTCTGCTCTGTCCTACAGGGTCACTATGAGTTGAAATTGAGTCGATGGCAGCAAGCTTGGTTTGGGTTTGAGTTGTGGCAAGCCCCTTTATCTGTTCCCTCTATCAGATCATTTCTGGGAACAGGTTCTCAGAGCATTAGAGTTGAATGCTCACTCCCATCTCTCTCTCCCTGCAGGATCTCACAATGTCAGTGGTTCAAAAACTAAAGCCAAACTCCCATCCACTGAGTCAATTCTGACTCATAGTGACCCCATAGGACAGCGTAGAACTTCCCCAATGGGTTTCCAAGACTGAACATCTTTACCATAGTAGAAAACCTCATCTTTCTCCAGAGAAGGGCTGGTGGTTTCAAAATGCTTGCATTGTGGTTAGCAGCCCAATACATAGTGGTTTCACATGACTCAGGACCTCATCTGCTGCAGATGAGACATCCTCATTTCATGCAGACGTCCTCTCCATTAGTTCTGAGTCATCGATGTCCCATAAAGGAGATAAGGGTCATTTTGAGGCTCAGGAAGGCCTGTTGGCTCTTACTTGCTCAAGTCTCTGTTGGGAAACTTGAAGAGCGGGGTCTTGAGACCCTGGCATTCAAGAGCAAGATCTTGGGATGAGGTTGAGGATCAGACTGACGGAACCTCTGGGCATTCCTTCCCCCAGTACTTGGTTCTACACCCCCACCCACATTGAGCAAAGATGAAATCAAACCTAGGGGAGCAAAACTTTCCTTTGCTGTTACCAAGAGAGCTTCCATTTGGAGCGCACAACTTCCCTCTCTTCAGTCTGAGCACTGATGCTCTGTGGCCCCGGACCGATAGTTCCAAAAGGCAAGGAAGGGCCTCAAGTCCACCTGGTGTTTTGAAATCCGTGTTTAGGTCCCAGTATGTGGCAATGTGCTTTGCTCTGATGACACTCTTCCTTTCTAATAATAGAGCAGATGAAGTAATATTGCAATTGATGTTCCCGGGCATTTGATTGGATAAGTGCATAAACTGTGGGGTAGGAGGTGGGAGTGTGTGTGTGTGTGTGTGTGTGGTGGGGGGTGTGTTGAATGGACACATCGCATTTGTATTCGGGCCCTATCAAGGTGCTGGGCCTCGGGCAACGTCAGTCGGACCAATTCTCTGCGTCTGCCAGTCCCGCCACAGATTCATTTGGGATCCTCAACTCGATGAGCCCACAGAGACTAGGGATCAAGGCAGCCGATTAGAGCCAATTGCTAGCTTCAGAGACGGCCAGCCTTTCCAGGCCTGGCGACG